GAGGGCGGGATGCGTTGGAGGCAGGTCCCTTTGGTCTCGCCTGGGTCAGTCACCCTCCATCAGCGGTGGGAGGTTTTGTCCATGTAGCCGAGAGGAGCTGCAGGCCACAGGGGTGGTCTGGGTCCTGTAGAACTCTGCATGCCCCGCCCCCCATCTCCCCGCTCAGGGCAGCACAAGGTGGCATTTGAGGACAGGGTACCGCAGTCTTTTAAAAACATTTGTTTGTACAAAGAGTCTTCATGTATATAATTAAAATAACTGCCCTCCAGCCTCTTTTCCTCCATTCCCACCTGAAGCCCTTTTGTTGGTTATTTTGGCATTCATCATCTTCTCCCTAAAGATTATGCTTGTATTGTATTGATTTTTAGGTTTAGGCATTATCTGTTGACATTGTACAAAAGGAGGTGAGAATTTAGCTCTCACTACACATGCGCCCTTATCATATTATATCTCATCTGCCCGAGAATCGTTTTATTATAATTTTGGTTTGATAAGTCTTTGGTATTTGTTTTCTTATTATTATATTCAGAGCTGAGTCATATAGTAAACTGATTACTTTCCTTCCATGCGTTCTGATTAATACTCTCAGCTCCCTCAGAATTAATAGTTACCTTGTTTTTTTGTTTTGTTTATGGTGTGTGTGTTTGTTCATTTGCTACTGTTATTACTGTTGTTTTATTTCCATTTACTGATTTCTGTTTCTACCTGAAATTGTTCCCAAGCTTGAATCCTAAGACCTTCAAATGCTTGGAGTATTGTGTCAGCTTCATCTTTCTGAAAATGGTTGCTACCATGCGGATCGTCCTGGGCTCTCCCTTCACCGTGTGCTACACATTGAATGTTTATGTGCCCCCTGACTCTCAGTGGGATGGTACTTGGAGACGGGGTGTTTGAGAAATAATTCAGATTAGTTGAAGTAATAAGGGTGGCTCTCCTGATGTGATTAGTTTCTTTTAAAAGAAGCAAAACTGACCTGGCCGGTTTGGCTCAGTGGTTGGAGCGTCGGCCTGCGGTACAGAGAGACCCTGGTTCGGTTCCCGCTAAGGGCACGTACCTCGGTTGCAGTTTGTCCCCGGCCCTGGTTGGTCGTGCGGGTGGCAGCCACTCGATGTGTCCCTTCACATCGATGTTTCTCTCTCTCTCTTCCTCTCTCTCCCTCCCGCTCTATCTGAACAAAAAATGGAAAAAATGTCCTCGGTGAGGATAAAAAAAAAAAAGCAAAACCAGAGAGCATGCTCCCTGTCTCCACTGTGAGGACACAGCTGTCCGCCAGCCAGGAGGAAAGCAGTAGAGCTGACACTCAGCCCGTGGACGCCCACCTCCAGCACTGTGAGAAAATGACTGTGGAGCCCGAGCAGACTCAGAGGTGTCGTCCTGCAGCTTCCCTCAGCCTCGTCCTGTTTCCTGCGTGCCGAGTCCCCCTTGTTGTTGTAGTCTCTCGCGACGGCGGCAGATCCTCCCGCAGCTTCCTTCCGCACGGGTTTGTAGGAGATACATCTTTCAAGACCTTAATTTACTGGAAACATCTTTACTTTACAGATGTTTTCATTTGCCAGGGTATAGAATGCTAGGTTAAAAATGAGTGTTCCTGATATGATTTTATACGTAGAAAAACCTAATGATGCTACAAAAAAAATTTTTTTTGGAACTGATAAGTGAATTTGGTACAGTAGCAGGATACAAAGTCAACGCACAACAGTCAGTTGCATTTCTATACACTGACAGTGAGCAATCTGAAAAGGAACCTATAAAAACGATTTCATTTACAAGAACATAAAAAATACTTAGGAATTAATCACGGAGATGAGAAACTTACACAGTGAAAACTACAAAGCATTGCTGAAACTAATTAAAAACAACGTAAATAAATGGCAACACACACATGTTCATGGATTGGAAGACTTAATATTGCTAAGATGTCAGTACTACCCAAAGTGATCTCCAGATTTCATAATTACTATGAAAATCCCAATGTCATTTTTTGCAGAAATGGAAAACCCCATCCTAAAATTCATATGGAATCTCAAGGGACCCCAAATAGCCCAAAGAATCTTGGGAAAAAGAACAAAGCTGGAGGACTCAGAATTTACTACAAATTTACAGTAATCAAAACAATGAGGTGCTGGTATAAAACAGACATATAGACCAATGGGACAGACTGGAGAGCACAGAAACATCGCCCTACTGGTATGGTCAAATGATTTTTCACAAGAGTGCCAAGACCATACAGTGGGAACAGGACAGACTTACTGACAAGCAGTGCAGGGAAAACTGGATATCCATATGCAAAAGAATGAAGTTGGACCTTATCTAATATATACAAAAACTAACTCTAAATGGATCCAAGACTTAAATGTATTTAAGACCTAAAACTATAAAACTCATAGAAGAAAACCTAGAGCAAATCTATACAAACCTGGATTTGGCAATGACTTCTTGGATAAAACACCAAAGGCACAGGAACCAAAAGTAAAAATAGACAAATATGACTTCTGAAAAATTAAAAATTTTGTGAATAAAAGATATTATCAATAGCATAAAAAGGCAACCAACAGAACGGGAGAAAATATTTCCAAATCATATATCAGATAAAGAACTATATCCAGAATGCAGAGGGAACTCCTAACTCAACAAGGAAACAACCCAATTAAAATTTGGCATAGGACTTGAATAGACATTTTTCCAAAGAAGATATGTATACAAATGACCAATAAGCCTGTGGAAACATGCTCAACATTACTAATTATTAGGGAAATGCAAATCAAATCCACAATGAGATACTTCCTCATACCCATTAGGATGGCTAGTATAAGAAAATAAATAGCCCTGGCCGGTTTGGCTCAGCAGTTAGAGTGTTGGCCTGAGGACCAAAAAGGTTTCAGGTTCGATTCTGGTCAAGGGCTTGTACCTGGGTTGCAGTTCGATCCCCAGACCTGGCTGGGGTTTTACAGGAGGCAACCAATTGATGTGTCTCTCTCACATCAGTGTTTCTCTCTCTCTCTCTAAAAATCAGTGGATTAAAAAATAAAAATAAATAAATGATGGCAAGGATGTGGAAGAATTGGAACCTTTGTGCACTGTTGGCGGGAATGTAAACTGGTGCAGCTGCTAAAGGAAAAAGTATTGTGGTTCTTCAAAAAATTAAAAATAAAATGACCATGTGATCCAGCAACTCTGCTTCTGGGTAGATACCAAAGCAATTGAAAGTAGGGTCTTATGGAGCTATTTGGACGCCATGTTCATAGCAACCTTATTCACAGTAGCCAAAACGTAGAAGCAGCCTGTGTCCATCAATGGATGAATGGATAAACAAAATATAGAATAGACATGCCATGAAATATTATGTAGCCTTAAAAAGGAAGAAAATTCTGATATGCTATCACATGGATGAACCCTGAGGATAGTATGCTGAGTGTCATTCACAAAAAAGACAAATACTGTATGATTTCACTTATGTGAGGTATTTCGGGTAATCACAGTCATAGAGATAGAAAATAGAATAGTGATTGCTGCCTATTCACTGGGGTGGGGTGGGCAACGGGGAATTATTGTTTGATGAGACTACAGAGTGCCAGTTAGGAAGAGTCGTGGAGATGGATGGTGGTGATGGTAAATTTTGTGTGTACGGACATACCTTGTTTTATTGGCACTTGCTTTATTATGCATCACAAATGTTGTGTTACATATTGAAGGCAAGACCCTCCACCAGCAAAAAGATTACGGCTTGCTTTATCAGTACCCACTTCATTGTGAAGGTCTGGAACCGAACCCACAAGACCTCCGAGGTCTGCTTCTTCCACTTATTTGTTGGTTGATTCTTGTATGTGTCCTGACCGGGGATCAAACCCACAACCTTGGTGTATCAGGACAAAGCTCTAACCAACTGAGCTACTGCTACAGCCTTTTTTTTTCAAGTTTGAAAATCATGACTCTGTTTGATGAGGTGGTTAGTTGCATTTTACTTATCATTTTATAGTCATTTGCACTGACTTGGAAAATGAGATTGTTTGGGTCGGGACCAGAGCCAGTTTTACCAAGTGTAAATGAAGTTTACGCTTCAGGGCACCTCAGTTGTGCTTCAGTGCTGAAATGGTCATGTGATTGTGTAACATTTGCCAAGGCAAGGTATTTTTTTTCCTATAGAGCCCCCTGCCTCCCAGGCCCCACAGAACTTGACCTCAGCTCAGACATGATAAAAAACATGTATACTATACATACTTTCATTCATTTTATTGGTTGTAATGTTATCTAGAACAGTAGTTTTTAAACTTTAATATGTATACAAATCACCAATAAATCTTCTGAAATGCAAGTGTGTGCCAGTATTTATGGAGGAAGCCTACTAGTATGCATTTATTTATTTATTTTTTAATCCTCACCCGAGGAGATATTTTTTCGTTTTTTGTTCAGATAGAGTGGGAGTGGGGGAGAGAGAGAGAGAGAAACATCGACATGAAAGGGACACATCGAGTGGCTGCCACCCGCACGACCAACCAGGGCCGGGGACAAACTGCAACCGAGGTACATGCCCTTAGCGGGAACCGTACCCCAGTCTCTCTGGACCGCAGGTCGACGCTCCAACCGCTGAGCCAAACCAGCCAGGGTGCATTTATTACTTTTTAAAGTATGTTTTTATTGATTTTTTTTAGACAGAGAGGAAGGGGGAGAGAGAAACGTCAATGTGATCGATCAGCTGCCTCCTGCATGCTCCCTTCTGGGGATCGAGCCTGTAACCTGGGCATGTGTCCTGACCCAGAATCGAACTGGGACCTCTCAGTCCATGGGAGGACTTTCGGTCCACTGAGCCACACCAGCCAAGCTGCATTTCTAACAATCTCACTTGTTGTCAATTTTCTAGGATCTTAATCGTTCATTCACTGATTGTATTTGCTTTTAGAATTGGAGTTTAATGAAGAAAAACCTTAATGCGATCTACTGATTATCTTCATTAAGTGAAATTGTTATCTTACAAAAATATTTCCTTTTTTCTTTATTTTTAGGTTGGCGCTGTAAACGGTATGGTCACCGAACAGGCGACAAAGAATGCCCTTTTTTTATCAAAGGCAACCAAAAGTTAGAGCAGTTCAGAGTAGTAAGTAGAACCCCACCATGTGAATTTCCATTTATTAGAGATAGTGACCATCAGTGAAACAGGCAGTGATGGGTGCCCTGGAGATTCTCATAAAGTACAGCCCCAGAAATTTCGGCCAAAGTTCTCGTGTTAACTACATCTCCGTTGAATTACATTTGTATGACAGATTAATGCATTAACAAAAAGCTAACTTCTTATTAAAGTGGTACTTGCATATACATTGAGAATAATGCTGCTTTTTCTGAAGCAGATATTGTAATTTATTCAATTCTCTCTCTTTTTTAATGTTTGGTTCTGAGAGAGAGAAAGAGTGGGGGAGGGGGGAGAAACATGGATCTGTTGCCTCCTATCCTCAAACCCTAAACCTGAGTATGTGCTCTGACTAGGAATGGACCCCATGACCCTTTGGTGCACAGGACAATGCTCTAACCAGCTGAGCCACACTGGCCAGGTTTTATTTTATTTTATTAAATATTATCTCACCTATCCATATGGAACAAGGAGAATTACCTTAATATTTCTACTTTGAATAGTATTTTATGATTCTGCCAGGGTTTATTTCCTTATAAAGGATATTTAAATTATATCCTGTGTATATACTTTTCAATCTTATATTATTTTCTAATTGGAAAATCCTCTCACAGCCTCAGTGAGTTTGCAGTGATGTTGACCCTTAGGAAGAATTAGAACATGTTAAACAAAAACCAAACTGGAAACCAGTTTTAGTAACAGAGAGAGGTGGTATTTACTTCACTAATGGTCCATGGAGTCTAACCCAGTGTTAACCTTCTCTAACCCTCCAGGCACATGAAGATCCCATGTATGACATCATACGAGAGAATAAAAGACATGAAAAGGATATAAGGTGAGGTTGTCCTGATGATAATAATGCCCCCTTAGTTTTAAGTTATGTTAAGTTGGAAACCACTCCATCACTAGAGAAGCACTTTAATAAATATGGTGCCTCAGTTGTGCAATACTTGGAGGACAGGAGTGAGTGATCACTGAAAAGGCCGGTGTGCGGGACTGAGCAGGTCCCCCTGTTCCCCCCGGGTTCACCGAGAGCAGTGGGTGTGGCCTGGCCAGCTCACACCGCCCTGGTTGATGTCGGCAGCCCACGCCGTGGTGTCTGGTTCTACTGTATGATTGGTTCTCTTTCATATGATTTAGTTTATCTTCTCCAATGTGTTAGGGATCTGAGCTATTGTTAAAAATTATTCTTAGACATGAATAGAGACAGAGTGAAACAACAGGTTTTTATTTTTTCAAATTAGTGGTCTTGGGTTATAATTGTTGAGGAGATAGATTACTCAATGTGGATCTATTACAAGTTATAATAGTAGGGACTACAGAACATGCAGGCACACCCCCTCCTTGGGGTATGCCCACTCGAATCTCCTTTCTGAGTGAATTTTATTTCTCCTAAACTCTAAGGGACCTCACGAGACTTGCAGCCAGGGGAACAGTGGGCAGCAGCAGCTCGTCCTGGGCTGACCCCTAGCCTGTCTCCAAGGCCCCTTTCCTCCGACTCTGCAGTGAGCTGGAGCAGCCCCACCCGGGCTCACTTCTTCCCTGTCGGGCTCCTAGAGCCGAAGCAGCCCACCCGGACTCTCCCGGTGCTGCTATCCTGGGCCCTTCCCTGTTTCACTGTCCCCCGCTTTAATAAATGTTCTCTCAATATTAAAAAAAAGATAAAATAAAACATACAGAAGTATTTAGGACAATGAAAAGGATACACAATGGTTGTACACTGGGTACAATCCTGCATAGTAGGCGTGGATGTGGACAGGCATGGGGGCCACATGCAAAAGGAAAAATAAGTGCTATGCTGACTGAGGTGATCGTGTGTGACTCTTTTTACCCTCACTACTAAGCGTCTATCTAAAACAATGTTTTAAAGCTAAGTGATGGCGTGTGGCTCTGTGCCCGATCTTATCTGTTCAGGATACAACAGTTAAAGCAGTTACTGGAGGATTCCACCTCCGACGACGACGGGAGCAGCTCCAGTGCCTCAGAATGTAAGGAGAGACACAAGAAAAGGAAGAAGAAAGAAAAGCATAAGAAAAAGAAGAAAGAGAAGAAAAAGAAGAAGAAACGAAAGCATAAGTCTTCCAAATCAAACGAGAGCTCGGACTCGGACTGACAGGAGCTCGGCTTGGTCAGTGTTCCCGTCTCAACTCAAACACTGTGGCCAACGAGCAGAGGACTGTGGGATTGGAGAGGACCTGAGAGGCCACAGCAAGGAGGAGATCTGCTGTCACAGGTGTGACTTCTCACCTGCCTTCCAGTGACGGTGTGACCACCAGAGAGGGGTGTGTCTTCCCAGGTGCCAGCTCTGGACAGTGGCCGACGTCCAGCAGGAAAGCTCTTCCCGGTGTCCTGCTGCTACTGCTCACTGGGGTTGTGATGCCCTAGAAATGCCGGGGTGGCCGGACTAAGGGAGCTCTGAGGACACTCCTCCAGGTGCTGTCACCTCCACAGCGAGGCTGCTTCATTCCCAGACTTCAGGTTGACTTCTCTGTTGTTGAAGATAATAAAAGCTCATTATTTATTTTTCAAATCTCTTTATTTTTATTTCTGAATAGTACATTCATGTATTCAAAATGTAAAAGGTACCTAAGGTTTTATTATGAAAAACCACCCTCTCCCCGGACTATTCACTTCCCTTCGCCAATGGCTAACAATGTTGCCAGAGTTTTGTGAAGCCATCCAGAAATATTTCATGCATCATAAGCAAATGTGGGTTTTCTTCCTCTTCCTCCCTCCCTCCCTCCCTCCCTCCCTCCCTTCCTTCCTTCCTTCCTTCTTTCAACATAAATGCTAGCATGCTATCCACATTTGTTGGCACGATTTTCTTTTTTTTTAATCCTCACCCGAGGACATTTTTCCATTTTTTGTTCAGACAGAGTGGGAGGGAGAGAGAGGAAGAGAGAGAGAGAAACATCGACATGAAAGGGACACATCGAGTGGCTGCCACCCGCACGACCAACCAGGGCCGGTAACAAACTGCAACCGAGATACGCGCCCTTAGCGGGAACCGAACCCGGGTCTCTCTGGACCGCAGGCCGACACTCTAACCGCTGAGCCAGACCGGCCAGGGCTGATTTTCATTTTTTAAATCAACAATGTAAAGTATGTTGGACCTTGCTGCTCATGAAAAGCCTGTTTGGTTTGTTTTGTTACAGATGTTTCTGCTTTTTTTCCCCATTGACACCCTCCTCCCAATCCCCCCAACCCCATACCCGGCTTTGTTGTCTGTGTCCATCGGTTATGCGTACATGTGTATAAGTTCTGTGGTTTATCTATTCCCTCCCTCCACCAACCCTCTTCTGAGGGTTGTCAGTCTGTACCCTACTTCCACATCTCTGGATCTACCCTAATCCTCAGACTGTTATATTCATTATATTATACAAATAAGTGAGATCATGTGATATTTGTCTTTCTCTGCTTGGCTTGTTTCGCTTAGGATAATACTTTCTAGGTCCTTCCATGTCGTCTCAAAGGATAAGAGATCTTTCTTTCTTACAGCTGCATAGTACTCCATTGTGTATATGTACCACAGCTTTTTTATCCATTCATCTACTGATGGACACTTCGGCTGTTTCCAGATCTTAGCTATTGTAAATAGTGCTGCTATAAAAATGGGGGTACATATATTCTTTCTGATTGGTGATTCAGGCTTCTTAGGGTATATTCCTAGAAGTAGGATCACTGGATCAAATAGCAATTCAATTTTTAATTTTTTGAGGTAACACCATAGTGTTTTCCATAGTGGCTGCACCAGTCTGCATTCCCACCAGCAGTGTACTAGAGTCCCGTTTTCTCCACACCCTTGCCAACACTTATTGTTTGATGATTTGTTGATGGCGGCCATTCTGCCAGGTGTGAGGTGATACCTCATAGTGGTTTTAATTTGCATCTGTCTAATGATTAGCGATGTTGAGCATTTCTTCATATGTCTCTTGGCCATTTGTGTGTCCTGTTTGGAGAGGTGTCCATTCAGCTCCTCTGCCCATTTTTTAATTGGGTTCTTTGTCTTCCTTTGGTTGAGTTGTATGAGCACTCTATGTATTTTAGAAATTACCCCTTATCTGATGTATAATTGGCAATGATGCTTTCCCATACAGTGGGTTGCCTTTCCATTTTGATGGTTGTTTCTTTTGCTGTGAGGAACTTTTTAGTTTAATATAGTACCATGTGTTCATTTTTTCCTTTGTTTCTGTTGCCTTAGATGATGGATCAGTGAAAATTCTGCTGTGTATGATGTCCGAAATTTTGTTGCCTACATTTTCTTCTAGGATTTTTATGGATTCATGGCTCACATTTAAGTCTTTTATCCATTTTGAGTTTATTCTTGTGTATGGTGTAAGTTGATGGTCTAGTTTCAATTTTTTGCATGTAGCTGTCCAATTTTCCCAACACCATTTATTTATTTATTTATTTATTTAATCCTCACCCGAGGACATTTTTCCATTTTTTGTTCAGATAGAGTGGAAGGGAAAGAGAGAGAGAGAAACATCGATGTGAAAGGGACACATCGAGTGGTTGCCACCTGCACGACCCAACCAGGGCCACGGACAAACAGCAACCGAGGTACACGCCTTAGCGGGAACCGAGCCCAAGTCTCTTCGGACCACAGGCCGACGCTCCAACCACTAAGCCAAACTGGCCAGAGCACCAACACCATTTATTAAAGAGACTGTCTTTACTCCATTGTATGCTCTTGCCTTCTTTGTCAAATATTAATTGAGTATAATATCTTGGGTCCATTTCTGGGTTCTCTGTTCTGTTCCACTGGTCTATATGCCGCTTCTTGTGCCAGTACCAGGCTGTTTTGATTACAGTAGCTTTGTAGTATAACCTAATATCCGGTATTGTGATTCCACCTACTTTGTCCTTCTTTTTCAAAATTGCTGTGGCTATTTGGGGTCTTTTTTGGTTCCATATGAACTTTTGAAGTATTTGTTCTAGTTTTGTGAAATACATCATTGATATTTTGAT